GTAGGCCAAGGATTACTAGCATTTTAAAAAAATGTTTACAGTTCAATACTTTGCTAATATTTATCCCCCGACATATATTCCTTCCAACAAACTGAAAGAATTTTAACACATTCCCCATATATATTCTACTAAAGTTGTTGTAATGCTTGTGGGACGTAGTTATTTTACGCATGCGCAATGAGAATTGTGTATTATGAAAATTCCTGACTTATAGGAGTTTGCAAAGATTCCGGGGGGAATTTTGCAGAGAATATCCCCAGTTTATAATTCAAAATTCCCCAAAATCATAAACAACAATAGAAATAGAGTATAAAAGGTGTATTTAAATTCATCGTATTACAAGGTTTTATTAGATTATCTTAGAGTGTCCACTACTTTAACACCATCCTTGGTTTTCTCTGGGGATGTATTCACCATGTTTAGGACTATTAAACAAGGAATAATAAACATCCAGACACACATATGAAAATTTTTAAACAGAACTAAGCAGTAGCTAAGCCCAAGTTAAAATCGTTGTCAGCGCCGTTGTTATGGCCGATATTTGCATATTACAGAGTCATTAAAAAGTGATTAACCCGCCCACCCCGTTTGAATATACACATATTTTCTTTATTTCACCCAGCGAGCTTGAGACAGGAAAAAAAATAGTAACGAACGGAGAGTTATTACAGATTATATGCAAGATATATCGAAATGTTGTCGTTTGTGGCTCTCTAAAACGTATACAGCCAAAGTCATTAACAGTCATTAATGGATTACAAGCAAACTTTTAATCTCTTAACTTAAGTGCTTATTATAGATAGATAGGGATTATTTATTACCTTAAAATCGGGCGCGTGGCTTTGCAGGCAAAAGTTTGAACAAGATTTCACTTTTATTTATTTCTTCAAAATGTTTTACAAAGTTATGCTTCTAATATATATCGTCACTTGTTTGAGACGTTGCACTATCCGATTCGTCATCGTGGCTGTTTCCGTCATTGTGGCTGCTTTCATCATCCCAGATATTGATATCCTAAGATACTGTGTGATATCCTAAGATACTGTATATATGATATCCTAAGATATTGTATGATATCCTAAGATGCTGTATGATATCCTAAGATACTGTATGATATCCTAAGATATTGTATGATATCCTAAGATGCTGTATGATATCCTAAGATACTGTATGATATCCTAAGATACTGTATGGTATCCTAAGCCATACTGTATGACATCCTAACATATTGTATGATATCCTAAGATATACATATAGGTTATCATATAAGGGATGAGGTGATATCAGTTTTATCGCTAGAGCGATAAAACTGATATCACCGAATCCCGAGTACGATAACCTATTTATTATATACTTGTACCTTTATCAGGGTTTGACACCCAAAAGTAAACAGTTTTGAAAATATCGGATCATTTTAGAATTCAAAACAATTCATCATTTACTGAACAAATATGATTTTAGAAAATAAATATACCATTCATATAAATAATATACAATTTAAGTCTTTCATTTTGTATTATCGTTCTTGTTTTCTTCGATAAACTGTCGACATCAAGTCATCAACCAACACGAACCTCGAGTCGGCCATCTTTGTTTTGACAAGGCGCGAAATTTAGCGGGACAAAAAACGATATCCGGGACAAAAAACGATATCCGGGACAAAAAACGATATCCGGGACGATATCGTTTTTATGTCCCGCTGCTTCCTACGTGATAAAGGTACAAGTATGTGATAATGTATGATATCCTAAGATAATGATATCCTAAGATATTGATATCCTGAGGTATTGATATCTTAAGATCTTGATATACTAAGATACTGAACGATATCCTAAGATATTGATATCCTAAGATACTGTATTATATCCTAAGATACTGTATGATATCCTAAGATACTGTATGATATCCTAAGATATTGTATGATATCCTAAGATATTGATATCCTGAGATATTGATATCCTAAGATACTGTTGGACATCTTAATTATAAGATGCTGCATGATTCGATCCATAAGATATTGACATCCTAAGAAATTGTATGATATTTGGAGCCAATCTCGACAGGCTTGGAGTCACTCTAAATAGTTCGTAGCCGAGTTCTCGATAGCTCGGAGCCACTCTAGATAGTTCATAGTCCTGACTATAGTCTTAATAGCCATAACTATAGTCTTAATAGTCATGACTATAGTCTGAATAGTCATGACTATAGTCTTAAAAGTCGTGACTATAGTCTTAATAGTCATGACTATAGTCTTAATAGTCATGACTATAGTCTTAAAAGTCATGACTATAGTCTTAATAGTCATGACTATAGTCTTAGTAGTCATGACTATAGTCTTAATGGTCATGACTATAGTCTTAATGGTCATGACTATGGTCTTAATGGTCATGACTATAGTCATGTCTATAGTCTTAATGGTTATGACTATCGTCTTAATGGTCATGTTGCTTGAGGAACGATATAATGTTCCTCGTTCGCTGCGCTCACTCATGCCATAATATCATCCCTCACGCAACATGACCATTAAGACTATAGTCATAACCATTAAGACTATAGACATAACTATAGTCATGACCATTAAGACCATAGTCATGACTATTAAGGCATAGTCATGACCATTAAGACTTTAGTCATGACTATTAAGACTATAGTCATGACTACTAAGACTATAGTCATGACTATTAAGACTATAGTCATGACTATTAAGACTATACTCATGACTATTAAGACTATAGTCACGACTTTTAACACTATAGTCATGACTATTCAGACTATAGTCATGACTATTAAGACTATAGTTATGACTATTAAGACTATAGTCAGGACTATGAACTATCTAGGTGGCTCCGAGCTATCGAGAACTCGGCTACGAGCGATTTAAAGTGACTCCAAGCCTGTCGAGATTGGCTCCAAATATCATACAATTTCTTAGGATGTCAATATCTTATGGATCGAATCATGCAGCATCTTATAATTAAGATGTCCAACAGTATCTCAGGATATCAATATCTCAGGATATCAATATCTTAGGATATCATACAATATCTTAGGATATCATACAGTATCTTAGGATATCATACAGTATCTTAGGATATAATACAGTATCTTAGGATATCAATATCTTAGGATATCGTTCAGTATCTTAGGATATCAAGATCTTAGGATATCAATACCTCAGGATATCAATATCTTAGGATATCATTATCTTAGGATATCATACAATATCTTAGGATGTCATACAGTATCTTAGGATATCAATATCTCAGGGTATCAATATCTTAGGACATCAATATTTCAGGATATCAATATCTCAGGATATCAATACCTCAGGATATCAATATCTTAGGATATCATTATCTTACAATCAGTTTCAAAAGTCTTGGGACAGATGCCACAAAACCTTTGAATTTCAACAAACGACAATCCCCCCCGCCCCCTGTTCAATGTTGTGTCCCGTTTCTCGTCGGGTTTGATGTGTTTTGGTTTAACAACATTGATTGGGGTGGGGGGAGGGGGAGGGGAGCGGTATTGTGTGTAAAAAACTATAATGATCCACTTACAAGCTAAAACTACATGTGTCCCAACAACTTCTGATAGTGATTGTGTGGGCCCCATATACCATCACATCATTGTACATCTCAAAAGTACAGGGAACAGAATGCTCTGCGAACGAAGTATTTCAGCTCCATTTCGTTCACAGAACATCTAATTACATTATAGAACAATTAAGTTTCATTAAAATTCTCAAAGTTAATAATTAACAGAATATGAATACAATTTGTTATGTCATATTGCATTCTTAATCACAAAGGTTTTATACGTTGTTTGTTTCTACAAATTTTGGCAGAGCGCTAGTAGGTTATTTGAGAGGTTATAGTCCGTCAATAAAGATAGGTATCGCAAATGTTATACGCTAGATATGTCACATATACTGTTATTTTATAGCATAGCAATATAACATCCGGTTACTTTCGCATGCGGGTAAGGGCTGAGTCAACTGCTAATTCGGGTACTCCGAAGGTAAAGAACGTTTGATTTTTATCACCAATAGTGAATGTGACATTTCACATCTTTCTAGAGCAGAATTTGCAGATATAATTGTCGACGCATGGGTACGAAGGAGCACTCAGTGGGTGGGAATTTCGGAGGCTAATGGAAAGTTCGGTATCATATAGTATATATAGTCACTTCCACATGGCTAAAAAATTGTCCGCAAGATCAAGTTGGCAAGCTATCGGAAAGCTCGAGAAGAGTAAATTCGGCATTTAATTGAACTCAGTCAGACAATCCCAAAAATTACTATTCAGCGTATTCGTACGTGGTAAAGAATGACCCTGACTTCGTGATTTCTCCAGGGCTTATAGATCTCCCTAATGCTGACGCGTTAGCAAGTACTAGCGCGCGACCCGCCGAAGCAAGAAAGTTGCACAGGCTTCCAAAAATATGTAACGAAAGGGACTCGCTGTATACGGCGTTGTACGCATTATACAACACAAACTTAGTGTTATACGCTAATTATGCTAATACGCGTTTCCGGTCCAGACGAATGCAATGAAACTAACATCGGTTGTCACTTCGATTGTCACTATAGAAATATGATTTAATGGGCAACTATTATTATTATTATTATTATTATTAATGGTTTAAGATACACACCTTCGCAATAGATTGAATTATGGTGCGTTTACAAAATTGGTACGCTATATATTTACATATATAAAAATTTAGTTGCATGCATCAAGTCTAAAAATCTTATTGAATTGCATTAAAATCATCGTAATTAAGTATCACGCTTAAGTTTCTTTACTATAACTATTATATAGAGCTACTGTACTGGGAAAAAAGCTACGGCGATATCTTTCTGTTCGGCATTTTATTGTTGTTAATGTGTTAGAGTTTCTAAGTTCATAATCATTTGAACTAGCCCTAGACAATGGAACATATTTTGACAGTGGTCCTTCAATTTCTATGCGTTTCATAGTATTGAGGCAATGTCGTTCTCACCTTTCATCCAATCTGGAACACCCAAGTTGTGCTAATGCTTCCCTATAAGAGTAACCCGGTAAAATAATCCTCAGCGCTCGTTTTTGCACTCGCTTTAAATCATCGGCGAGGTACAAAGGTAGGGCATGATGCCATACCACACAACAGTACTCCAGAACCGATCGTATTAAGGCAAAGTATATACTCAATAAGTCTTCCGCAGGGACACCACCTCGTCGTAATATGCGGATGATATATAAACGTTTAGAAGCCTTGGATACAACTGATTCTATGTGTGCATTCCATTTAAGATCGTTTTGGATAACCAGACCTAGGACTTTATGAGACCGCACAACCTCAAGCGCATGACCGTCGATCAACAATGGTGATAGATCAGGTGATTCCCTCAGAAAGCAAACGCGTAGTTCTTTGCACTTTTTGGAGTTAAGTTTCATAAGGTTGCACGAAGCCCAAGAATTTATAGTATCAATACAGAACTGAAACTTTGAATTGCTGCCCTTTGTGATATTTTCCTTGCCCTTTGGGAATGCTATCGACTGAAGGTAGCCAGTGTACAATATTATGGTCACTGGATCCTAATGGAGCAAGGACATTAGGGCGGTCATATAAATTATACAGGTTTGTAAGAATAAGATCGAGTATTGCTGATTCTCTAGTGGGTTGGTCAACAACTTGTTTAAGATTTTGACTGGTGGTCAAACTGCGAGTTTCAAGATCATTAAAATCACCCATAATTACTAGACCAAGGTCAGGGTGGTTATTTCGAAGTAGGTCAATAGTGTTAATTAAATGTTCATTAAGATCACTGTGTTCCGATATTGTCAGACCAGGTGGGTGACACACGACACAGATAACGATACCGGATAGAGGTCTAGGGAGGCGTTTCGGTCGAATGCTCAGCCATAAGCATTCTAAATTCTCACTTTCTAGGTCTACCCGTCGTATACAGGGGATGTCTTTTTTAATATAAGCACAAACTCCGCCACCTCGTCCAATTGCGCGATCTTTACGGAATAAATTGTAATCGTTAATTGACAATAAGCTGCTGTCTATGTGTTCGTGTAACCATGATTCAGTTATCGCGATAATGTCAATGGGCTTGAAACTTAGTAATGCTGTCAATTCGTCCAGCTTTGGAAGGAGTGAGCGGGAATTAAGTAAAAAGAAACATGGGAGTATCATTTCTTTGTTAACCTTATAAGCATGGTTTAAAGTTGTAATATGGATTAGGTTGGAGGAGGGAAAATAGCAATTCTTGCGCTTCTTGTGCTGTTTAAACGTTCTAGAACGATCTGTAATATGGACAGAGATGTTCGTTCTATTTTTGGTTTCATTTGGTGTCGATATTTTATGTAAGGTTAAAGAGGACTGTGGACTTATTCCATCCGGGATGTATAGGAAAGAGGTTTCGCTATTCCAAAAACGAGGGGTCACATTGGTATAGTCAATAATCTCAGTTGGGTAAAAGTTTAGGTCATTATCGTCATTATCGCTAATTTGTACAGGATCACCATTATCACGGACAATTTCCGCGTGGAATAAGTGACTTCGAGAGG